TGCAGACAAATCGGTTCTCAAAAAAAGGTACAAAAAGATGGCTGTTCTTCTTCACCCTGACAAAAACAAAACAGTAGGAGCTGATGAAGCTTTTAAGCTTGTTTCAGAAGCATGGGCTGTGTTATCTGATAATGTGAAAAGACACACGTATGATCTTAAAAGAAATAAACACTTATTGGCTTCACTTCATTCATCTGTCAATAACACAACAACACTTGACACTTTTTGGACTGTTTGCACTTCATGTCGTGTCCAATATGAATATTTAAGAAAATACGTGAACAAAAGACTTTCATGTAAAAATTGTCGAGGTGTTTTTGTAGCTGTTGAAACGGGAACAGCTCCTGTGACTTATACTCCATGGTCATATTCGTCTGAAAATGGATACGCCACCACTTATGTACCAAGCACATCCGTTTGTTTTGGAAACGGGTATGAGTACAACGGGAATGTGTCATTCCAATGGAATGGGAATGGTTATTCCGATCCGAATCCGAATCCAAATCCAAATCCGAATCCCAACAGTTTAGCTTCTAAATCCATCGGTAAATCAAAAGGGAATGAGAAACAACAGACGAGAGTGAACGAGACGAAGTTAGGTAGGCCTCCGAAGAAACGAAAGATAGAAACCGGAGACGGACCCCGGAATGGAATCGGGGAAACCGGAATCAGAGATTCCGAGTGTGGTGACATTCCGACGAGACAGTACTCGTTTGCACCGGCGTTTGATGCGAGAAAGATGTTGATTGAAAAAGCGAGAACGGTAATCCGCGATAAGTTGAAGGAAATGAAACTGGAATCCGGTTTGAAGACCGAAAAGAATGGAAAGACATTGAAAAAAAGTAATTCGATTCCGGTTCCGGTTCCGATTCCGATTACGGTTCCGGACCCGGATTTCCATGATTTTGACATGGATAGATCCGAAGAAGTTTTCAAACCGAAACAAATATGGGCGATATACGATGAAGAAGACGGAATGCCGCGTCTATACTGTATAATCCGCCAAGTCATCTCCGTGAAACCGTTTCAAGTCCGCATCACCTACTTGAACTCAAAACCGGAACCGGAATCCGCAAACTCCGGAATCACAAAATCCTGTGGAAGCTTCCGCGTTTCCCATTCCGACATCGTTGACCAAGTCAACATCTTTTCTCATCTATTGGGGCGGGAGAAAACCGGTAGAGGCGGATGTGTTACGGTGTACCCGAAACGAGGCGACGTGTGGGCGGTGTACCGGAATTGGTCCCGGAAAACCGCGAAAGCGAGGCGGCAGTATGAGATGGTGGAGGTGGTTGATGATTACTCCGATAAGGTTGGAGTTTGTGTGACACCGTTGGTTAAATTACAAGGTTATAAAACTGTGTATCAAAGGGGTCCCACAAAGAATTTGATTTCTAAAAAAGAAATGATGAAATTTTCGCATCAAGTTCCGGCTTGTTTGTTGAAAGGTCAAGCTTTGAATTTACCGGATGGGTGTTGGGATCTTGACCCGGCGGCTACACCGGAGCAACTTTTGAAGGCGGCAATGGAGGTGGAGGAGGAGGAGGAGGAGGAAGAGGGGAAGAGAGGAGGGTGTTTTGGTAATTTGGTTTGAGATTGGTAGTGTATAGATGGAAAACAAATAGTGATGGGGGTGGGGGAATTAGGTAGGTGGAAGTAAGTGGTTGGGGGATCATAAGGTGATCCACGGCAGCCGGAGCCGGAGCTGAAATTTGGGTTTTTTTAAGATGTTGGTTGAGAAACTTTGTACTAATTAATTACTTATTTTATGAGTTAATTATTTACCTTTGAGTTTTAGATGTGTTAATTATTAGTTTTTTACTTTTACTTTTACATATCCATGATGCAATTATTTTAGATTTCTTCGTTTTTATTTAGAAACACAATTCGTCCGAATTCCAAATATTGGTTTCTGTAAATTGAGACATAACATTATTAATTTAAGTAAACCGTTTGTGAAATGCCGAAATTTGTTAAATTTACAATAAAGTTTTATAGAAAATAGTAGTACAAAGTATGAGAAAATAAGATTTCGTTGAAGAGCAACGAAGTTTCATAATTTTCTGAAATGTCAAAAATTTTGTTTGCTTAAAGCTTTTTCATTTTATTTGGGAATCATATCTGTCATATATTATATCCGCACCACAATTATTTGTCTAAAATAAAAAGACAATTAAGTCATCAATAATGTCGACAAAGGTAAAGAAGTTGTATGTTCCTTCAATAATACGGACAAAGATAATCATCGCTAAGACGACGATGGCCTTTTTTTTTTTTTTTTTTTTTTTTTTTTTTTTTTTTTTTCTGTTAACAATAATTTTTTTGAAATTTCTTTTCCCAAGGAATAGATAAGTGTTACACAATTATCACTATGATGTCTCATTATATAAAACCTACTATTGATACTTATGAAAAAGTATTGATGCTTATGAAAAAGTGTAGTAGATAGACATTGGAAAGTGCAAAGATATTAGTGTATGAAATTAAAGAGGTGGAATGTTATAGAATAGATTGTTTAGAGTTAAATCTCATATTAATAGATATATAAAAGTGGTTTAACCTAAATCCTAAAGGTTTGGGTTTAATCCTAATCACTAACGCCCCCTGTTGTTTGATCGGGAGGGGATGATTAAACTGAAAAAAAAAATAAAAAAAAATAAAAAATAAAAAATAAGTAAAAAAAACATAGATAAAAGTAGCGATGGTGGCAGAGCTCTGACGATGACGACTAACAATGATTTCACGTTGGAGAAGAAGTGAGAAGAAGCGGAGACCAGAGACAGTTCCGTTGTAGAAGAAGAGAGAGTTGGTGGCAACGGTGACGGTCATGGAGTCGGCGGTAGAGGAGTCCAAAGAAAGCAGTGATAGGGAAAAAGGGTTTGAGTTGCGGCGGATGAAGCTGATTCTTGCGAGATCGGCGACTCCAGTGTTGATAGATGGAAAGGGAGATGACTGTAGATCAGAAGCTGTTCGGAAGATAATGCCATCAGAGGGAGGCAATGACAACATCAGAAGAGGCGGACTCGAAAAAAGAGATTCGAAGAAGAAAAGGTCATCTGAGGAGGCAGAACGGGGCAGTAAAAGAAGTCGATGAAGGGGTTATCGTTTGGTATCGGCGGCTGCAATATTATTTGGAAGGAGAAAGAAGAAAGATAAATTATTTAAGCATAATGAAGACACCTCCAACGATTATAAGAGAAGATCGTCGGAGGTGGAAAGCAACGATTGTGGGTTATGGTCAACAATAAGGTTTTAACTTAGAGCTCCGATATCATGTATGTTATAGAATAGATCATTTAATTAATAGTAAGGGTTAAACCTCATATAAATAGATATATAAAAGTGGTTTAACCTACACCTTAAAGGGTTTAGGCCTAAACCCTTATCACTAATAGAAAATTAGATATCGAATGTCAATATCAGTTTCAGAGTTTCCCCGTTGTTGAAAAATGTAACCAATATAGAAGCAATTTTTTTTTCAATAGTTCTACCACGCTAAAAAGATAATTAACATAGACAGCAACTTATTGATGACGAAAAAAAGTAATCCTAATGAACTTTTAGAATAATGATATAACTATGCATGTTTGAGCGAGAGATTCTGCTTTGTGCATTAATGTTGTACTAGATTGTTGGTCATGTTGATAACACTAATGTTATCGTAGTAGACAAGAGTAACAGTGCTCATGCTCGGTGGAAAGTGTATCTCCTAAAGAAGATTGTATAGCCATAAAATGCATGACATGTACAATAATATAACATGTAGACTAATATATCTGATGTGCATATATTATATTTATCTAGTTTTAAATTTAGTTTTAAATTTATAACCTAACGAACTTAACTAAATTAAATGTACATAGGCAATATATCTAGTCGAATTAAAAAATAGTTTAGGTAATTCGGATGTCAATCATAGGGAATGATATTTAATTAATAAAATAACTACTAAAAGTGAAACTAAGAAAAACAACTAAAATTAGGGTTTTTTAATCTGATTTTACAAGTTCAGAAAAACTTAAATTGAAATAACAAACTAATTACTAAAGTAAACAACTAGAAAAACGATTTTAAATCAAGAATAAATGATATTTTCGTTTATCTTTGAACCCCTCATGTTTCCTATGGTTGATTTCAAGATAATAGATTAATTCCGTTAGTTACCAAATAATAGTTATTAGTCATCATAGTCAGACTAACTAGCATAAGTTAATTTAACAACTTTAACCCTAATGATCATGCAAGTTAAGGATACTAAATTGATTTTAATGGTAACTTGGACTCTGAATGATAGAATCTAAAAACTATTATTCTCTGGTCAAGTCTAGTAATCAAGCAAATATTATGATCAAATAGTGTTCTCTAACATAGTTAAGCAACAAACTTATCACCTACACTAGGATATGATCAATCTATAGCTCTAGTCATTTAATGGTCATAAACAACTAGTATATCACCTGGTTCCTGGTATGTATTCTTGATTATTAACTCTCCTTATGTATTGCAATTTAATCTTGGACTCGGCGAGTTGAAGGGCTAACTCGCCGAGTAGGAGCAGGACTAGTCACGGGATCAACTCTGGCTACTCGGCGAGTAGGGTCGTGGGACTCGGCAAGTAGACCCTGTCTGGACTGAAACCCTAACCCGGGTGTTTGCACCCTATTTAAACGATCTAACCCAGCCTCCATTTCCCCTAACACTCCCAGAGATCTGTAGAACGAAACCCTAGCCCCCTTTGTGTCCTTGTGGGTGATTTTTAGCATTGTGAAGGTGGTTTGGAGCTTGGGAGAAGAAGGTGAAGGTTGAAGAGTGCAAGAAGGGAAGAAGATCCGGAATCTACGCTGTGAAGGGCTTATATTCATGTAGAAAAGTTCCTACCTTGATCTTTAGTTCATTGAACCCCCTTCTTGTCCCTAAAAAGAGGTTTTAAGCCATAAGAACCTAAATCTCTATGTGTTTATGGTTAATGTTCTGCAAGGACTTCGGATTTGGACCTTTAGGACATCCTAGTAGCATAAAGTCTATGTGGTTAAGGTGATTGAGGTCCCTATTGAGTGTAGGACCTCTTAAAAATCTTGGAATTGCATGTTTGAGCTCATAGGGCCGTGCATGCACGTAAAGTTTGCAACTTTACGTGGTAAACATGCCCTAAGACCTTAGATCTGTGGTTTTGAAGCATTGCATGTCTTAGATCTGGCCTACTTGGGAAATGGGTCGAGGAACTCGGTGAGTCCCAAAGTGGAACTCGGCGAGTTCTATGAAGATGGTCTTAGACTCGGCGAGTTGGATGAACAATTCGGCGAGTCCTATGAAGATTGCCTGGAGCTCGCCGAGTTGTTCTTCAAACTCGGCGAGTCATATGAACTTTCGCAGAGCAAGAGGGGTTTAAGCGTTGAAGGGTCAACCCTTCGTAACCGCACGCGGAATTAACCGTGTAGCGAAGTCCCCAAAACCCCAAACCCTCGTATGGGGTGTTCTGGTGTGGATTGGAAGCGAGTAGGGGATTCGCTCGCGGAACTCGGTGAGTTGCTCGCGGACTCGGCGAGTCGGTACTCGAGTCGGCCCCATAGTCCCGAGTCGTGAGTCAAGGGTGACTCAGTGAGTGGGGAGAGGGACTTGGCGAGTAGGACCGGATTAGTAAGGGAAGGACTCGGCGAGTTGCTTGCGGACTCGGCGAGTCCAGTCAACTGGAAGTTGACTTTGACTTGGATTTTGACTTGGTCAAGGGTAAAAGGGTCATTTTACCCTAAGTACATCTAGCAGTGTTTGACTGATCGTTTTGTGGGAATTATAGCCGGAGGGCGTCTGCAGCAGCAGTAGACAGTCAGTTTCCGATCAGATCAGCAGCTACTTTGAGGTGAGTTACCTTCCAGTAGCGGTGGGTCTACGGCCACAATGTCGGCCCACCAGTAGGAGTTGTATGTAGATGATTGTCTCTGTGATATTCATCTAAGGGATTACTACTACCTGTGTTGTATTTATGTGCTAGTGATAGTAGGGGGAGATAGTCCCCAAGATATCCGGTCGGTAGGGCCGAAGGGGTAGTCATACCCAGCCATGTTAGATAGAATCTGATATTGTGATACATGTTATGTGGTAGTAGTAGAGGGGAGAAATAGTTTCCCCAGTATCCGGTCGAGAGGACCGAAGGGGAGGCCAGCACCCAGATATGCTAGGCCAGCACCCAGATATGCTAGGCAGTATCCGGTCGAGAGGACCGAAGGGGTAGGTCGGGCACCCATATATGACTGACAATTTATGTATGTATGTGATTATATGATATGTGGTACAGTGGGGGAACTCACTAAGCTTCATGCTTACAGTTTTCAGTTTGGTTTCAGGTACCTCTTCAGCTAAGGGAAAGGAGTCGGCGCGGTAGCAGCACATCACACACACTCTTGTTTCCGCAGTTATGAGTTTATTCTGGGATTGATACTCTGATATTTTGGTTGTTTAGATGTTGTGGATTTCAAATTTGGGTTTTCGATGTGAAATGGTTTAATTAAACAATGTTTTAATTATTAGTGTTTTCTAAGTGAAGTTTTAAAAACGAAATTTTTGGACGTTGAAATTGGGTCGTTACAACTAGGTAAA